TGTGTACAGCAAATAATGTTGCTTTAGAAGTAAAGTTGTCAAGAAAATCATTAATATAGATAAAGAACAACACTGGACCAAAGAAAAATTTTAAAGGTGTGAATGAAGGAGACTGTTTCTATCAAAGGCAACTTTAATACTGTGGTTAGAAAGGAATTTTTAATAATTTAAAATTTTTCCAAACATTTAAAGAGAGATTATGGAGAAGACCAGCATGCTAGACTGTATTAAAAGCTTTCAATATATCAATAGTTTAACAGGAGGTAGTGGTGCGTGGTAGAGTGCTCGCTTCATAAATGAGTGGTTCCGAGTTTGATCCCCACCACGTCCCTGGTAGTACCGCGCTTAATTTGTTTCTCCGCGCAGCGGCCTTGTTCGTCAAGGTTCGTGTTTCGGAGTTATAGAGTTGAGAGAGGGTTATAGCCACAAAATAAGTAGCCTCCTCGTCTGTAGTGGCCTTCTCGGCCTTGAGGAGGTGAAGTAAAATTAAAAAAAAACAAAAAAAAAACAGGAAGTAATTTTTGAGATGTTATATCTCAAAAATTATATCTCAAGATGGGATAATAAAAGTTTCTTAATTAAATATTCAAAGACTTTAGTTAAAAATAATTTATAAATATTTAATAAAACTTTGAATAATTAATAAATAATCAAACTGCAAATAATAGTTAGAGGTATCAGAGCAATCTTCAGAGTTTTTGAAATTAAAAATTTTTCATGTCAAGCATTTGTTAAATAGTTTCAAGAATAATGAAGAGGATTCTGGACACTTTTGTAAGACTTTTTGTTACTTTTTGTTTACTTTTGTAACTTTTAGTAAGACTGTGACAGAATTGTGTCTGGACCACAAGTTGTTAAAGGGATCCCAAACTCCCAACACATGTTGTGTTCATATTAAAGATAATATTAAAAAAAAAGGTTTGAACCAAATTTTTTTGATTAAAAATAAATAGTGAATGCATACCGTGAAAAACAAATGTTGTTGTTTTTGCCGAAGCTCGTCTTCTCCATTTTTTTCAACTAATCGGAGTCTTCAAATTATGCGTCGCAATCTACAGACTTTGGCAATTCCTTTGAAGCGCGTTTAATTCATAAAAGTTTTAGTATTTGACGTCACGGTAGACTTTTAATAAATTAAACTCTAGAAATATTTTTATTTATTTTCAGTCGAAGTTTTTTTGATTATTTGTTTAGTTTTTTTTTTTTTCTACTTTTAATATTTAAAAAGATATTAAAAACCTTAAATATTTTATGCTGGTTCATTGCTATAAATTGTTATTGCGCCATATATTTAATGTTTATAAATTATGAGTATTTCTCTATGAATTATCTCTCTCTATATGAGAGATCTTTTATCTTTTATCAATTATCTCTCTCTATATGAAATATCTCTCTCTATATATCTTTCTATATGAATTATCTCAAAAATTGTTTTACATTAATTACCCGTATAAAATTAGTAACAGCTTTTTTATTTGGTTAGACGATATTTCGTTTCAATTTGCTTTGCATGAAGTTCGGAAAGTCAAACCAAAAAAATTAGTTTGAATATTCACATAAATCAATATATATTTAAAACAAATTATTTTAATGACGGGGGTTCTAAAGTTTTTTATAACAAATGTAGGTAAAAAAATAAATAACTAAATAAAAAGTTCAGTATTAAACACCATTTCTTTATTCTATTGCAACTGTAAATATTGAATTATTAACTTGAACTAAATTTACTTATTATTTAGAACGACTAAGCAATAAAAATAAAATGCCCCTAAAATTATTTGAGATTGTGTTGTTTATTTGATAATTGTTGTTGGCAATGTTGTTTATGTTGATTATTTTCATAAATATCAAAATAGTTCCAGATTAACCGGTTCGTTGCTTTGCTCATTGTTGATTTATTTCTAATTTAATTTTATCTCAAACTATAATTATATGTTAAAAAAGAAAAGTTTTTATTTCATCGGGCGCTCTTTTTATAAAAGAGTAGAACAAAACAGAAAGAAAAGCAATTAAACTTTGAATGAGTAAGAGTTGTATAGAATATATATATTTTTTTGCTTCACTCATTCTTTTTTTAGATGAGAGAAATAAAAGTTTAATAATAAATTTTCTTTGAATAAGTGAGAATTGGAAGAGAAAATTGCTTGAAAATTTGTATTTGTTAATTGTGTTTTTAAAATTTTTTTAATTTTTCATGTTAAAAGATAAATTACGACACAAATTTGGAAATACCAAATATAATATGTTTTTTAATTCGCGTTATGACATTTTAACAATCTAAATTACCATCTATCTTGAATTATTGCCTTTAATTAATGTGTTAATTATTGCGTTATTTAATAATAATTTGTCCGTATTTTTGTTAAATATTAGTTGTATAAAACGGGCGAAAATATACAAACTTTATGTTTTTTTATTTGATGGTTATAAAATATTGAACAGTAAACTTATAATCAAAATTTCTAATGCCGACTTGTGTTGCAATTAATTGTACTTTTAATGCAAAATCAGGATCTCACAAATCCTTTCACGAGTTTTCATATCTGATACTACTGTCAACTGTATTGTTTAGTGTATTCTTGCTTTTTTTTTTCATAATCTCAACAGGTTCTAATTGGTATAGAGTTGCTGACACTTTGAAAATTTCATTATCAAAAATCAAATGTAAAATAAAATGGTATTTCCTTTTTATCCGTATCCAATTCAGCAAATTTAGCAATTTAAATTAAATCAGCGTGATCAAAAAAATTTTATAATAAAAAAAGTTAACCATTCATTAAATATTTCTAATTAATACTGTCAGTTTATGAAAGTAATTGTTAATAAATACTTTTTTTTGACGGGAAAACAAAAAATTGTCATAGCGTAAAAATAACCAGAGAAGTTAGAAAATAGTTCCCTTTGTTTAAATAAAAATAATTAAGAATCAGAATATATAATACTGCGCTCTCTTGCGCAAAAACAAGAGACCGTATATAAAACGTTCTATATAAAGTAAAATACTCGTATGAAAATCATGAGATTGGTAAGTAAAGCTTTAATATTTGTTTTAATTAAAATAATTAAAGAAATATAAGTAAGATATATAAATCTAAAAATTATTAAGATATCTGTAAAAAATAAGTTGCTCCTATAAAATAAAAATAATTTATTGTTTTTACTTTTTACAAAATTTTTTTTGCGATGTTTGGAAAAATAATGCAAATAAATTTCTTTTGCTGTATGTTAAAAAAATACTACAGTAGAAAAACGCAGCTTAGTTTAATTACACTTTTCTTTTGTTAAAAGTCTACCGTGACGTCAAATACTAAAACTTTTATGAATTAAACGCGCTTCAAAGGAATTGCCAAAGTCTGTAGATTGCGACGCATAATTTGAAGACTCCGATTAGTTGAAAAAAATGGAGAAGACGAGCTTCGGCAAAAACAACAACATTTGTTTTTCACGGTATGCATTCATTATTTATTTTTAATCAAAAAAATTTGGTTCAAACCTTTTTTTTTAACATTATCTTTAATATGAACACAACATGTGTTGGGAGTTTGGGATCCCTTTAAGGAGTTCAAGGAAGAAATAACTTTAGCAGCAAAAGCAGGAGTGAGTCTCATATCTAGGGTATATTTAGTATAACAGAAAAAATGTAGTCATTAGAATTAGAGAAAAAGTTATTTTTGCAAATAGTTTTATCTTATCCTTAGAAGAGATGGTAAAATAAGCCCTATTATGACTAGGGACCGGCAAAGTCGACTTATTATTTATATGAATTTATATGAAAGATGAATTTAAGTCGTATATGTAGCCCGAATTTAACTAAAAGACGAATTTAAGCCGTATATGTAGTCCAAATTTAACTGTAAGATGAATTTGGATTTTAAAAACACATTTAATTAAAAAAGAAATTTTTTAAAGAACTTCTATAAGTTTTATAAAAATTTTTTAAAAAATTTTTATAAAACTTATAGAAGTTTAAATGTTTCAAGAAAAACTTTAAATTTTTCAAGCAGACTTAATAGTTTTGCCACGGAGTACATCAGAAAAGTATTAAACTAGAAAGTTCAAACCTTTTTTCCTACAGGTGGTGCAAAATATGCCTAGAACTTGCTTTAAATCCTATTCTCCAGTTCTTATGTATGGCAGACTTTAGACTTGTTTTTAATAATGACGTTATTAAAGGCTTTCCTTTTCTCTAGAACCTAGCTTCTAAGATAAAGTACAAGATTTAGTGATCTGAGAATAATACACCAGATGATACAGGTATCAGACAATACCTTTTTGCAGCAATTTCTTGCAGTTATAAAAAAGATTTAATAAATTTTTTCTCCAGAAAGTTAATCTTGTAGATGAAAATGATGATTATGATGAGAAATATCATAATCATTACTTTCATCTACAAGGAGTGAAAGTAACTGATTAAGGAAAACTATTTCTAATGTAAACTTAACAAACTAAACTAACTAACAAAGTTAAAGATAAATATTTAGGACTTTTGAGCCAGTTGGATTAGTGGTACTAGAGAAAAGCCATTTAGTGTGATAAACAATGAAATCACCAGTAACAACATTATTGACTGAGGGATAAAGAGAATGGCTATTGGCAATATGACCAAAAATAAAATCAAAACTGAATCTTGGAAAAGAAAAGAGAACAATGACAAATGAAACTAAAGGGGACAGAGTGAAAAGGTGTGAAAGCACATATTAATCAGAGTGTTCAATCAGAGTCTGATGAAGTTGAATTATTTTATTCATTAAGTTTCTACAATCATATATCATAAAAAATGTTTAAGAAATATCTCAATTTAGTGTTGGGCCAGCCTGTCTCTACTCAGCACTACCATATTAGTATATCTGGGACAACATTTTTTTATACTTATTCATTCTTATGGTTTTTTATATAAATTTGATCATTAAGGTGAAAAAAATTTCTTGCTAATAAGTGATAGCCTTGGTATTTTTTTTATAAAAATTTTTTCAGTTAAAAAAGCATTGTATAATTTCTAGGTATTGTTGGGTAAGCGATGTTTTGATTCAACAAAAGTGTAGTGATCCAATCAAAAAGCTTACTCCTTCACTAATGATACCTCTAGGAACCTCAAACAAAAAGAGACTAATCATTGGACATAATGTGTGCTTTGATCGTTCGTTTGTTAGAGAACAATATTCTCTTGAAGTATGTTTCTTTTGTTTTCTTTTCTTTTCTATGTTTTTTTTTCCATATTTTTTTTATGTTAATATATTATTGTGCATTAATTTTATTTATTTTGTAAATTATTTTAAATATTAAATGTTAAATTATTTCATAATTTTAATTTTAAATTTATTCTTAATAATAAATATTTCAGTTTTTCATAAGGAATTAGAACTTAGATAATAGACCAACATTTATATTTGCCTTAGTTAAAAGTTTTCCTTTTTGTGCCATTTATAAGGTGAACTGAAAAAATATTTTAAAAGCTTAGTCAATCACAATCCTAAAAACATATTCTTAATCATTAAAAATATTTTAAAGCTTGAATTATTTAAATACATTTTCTGCTTTTGGTATTAGATGTTATTTTTATATAGTTTATTATATTTATTTATATTAAATATTATATTTAGTATCTATTAAATAATAGAATTTATTATGTATTGTATATAATTATTTGAGTGTTTTTAAAAATATTTTTAGGCATCTAATCTGAGATTTCTTGATACCCTTAGTTTACATGTTTGTGTATCTGGAATAACTAATGAACAACGCAATTATATGAAATCAAAGTCTGACGCCAAAGTTCATTTTGATTGGATGGATGTGGGTGCTATGAATAGTCTTGTCAAGGTGTATGAGTTTTATTGTAACAAATCAATTGATAAATCATCGCGAGATTACTTTGTCACAGGAAGCTTACAAGATATTTATGAAAATTTTCAAGTAAATTTTTTAAAATTTAAATAAAATATTTTCTTTAAGACAATTAAAGACAATTGTATACAATTCATGCAACTATATGCAATTGTGTAGTTATATTCAAAAATGTTATACTTTTAATGGAAAAAATGATAAATGTTGCTGAAATTTTCTTATTTGTTTTTTGTGACTTTTCACATGCTATTCATATTTAACAGGAGTGTGTACGATACTGTGCTGTTGATGTCCAATCGACTCATGCTGTTTTTACTAGTGTATGGCCTATGTTTTGTTTTCATGCTCCCCATCCAGTAACTCTGCTTGGTATGTTAGAAATGGGGACATCTTATCTTCCGATTGATGAGAGTTGGAATCATTACCTTGAACAGGCAGAATTTATCTACAACAAGATGGCTAAACAAATGAGACATTCACTTATGGTAGTTGCTGATGAAGCCTTGAAAATGATTATAGATGACAAGTAAATTTTTAATGTTGTTTTAATGTTAGATAATTTTATATAATTAGGGGTTTTATAAAATTATGTTAATAACATGTACCTGCCAACCCACTCTCTCTTTCACGCACACACACAAATACACATAGATATATACACACTCCTCTCATGTTTATCTTGAAATTTCAAGGGTACACCACATTAGGTTATTATTATTACTAAAAGTTTTGTTATAGTTTTATCATCTCTTACTCTAAAATCTTTTAAAAAGACATGTTGAATGTAGTACTATCAGGAATGTGGTGCAATGAAGCATTAGCACACTAGGAATACTAGAGATAGGGGATTAATAATAAATATTATAACAGCTGCCTGCAAAGTTTTATTTTTCTCTTTTTTTTTAATATAATTTAAATCTGTTTTCAAAAGTCTCTATTTAAAAAAAAAACTGCCATGTTTACACATCTTACTCTCATTTTTTTTAACATCTTTACTTTCAATAAGGCTGCAAGCAACCACTATTAGAGTTGGAAGTTACTGGAAGAGGAAAGATGAAGTTTATAGAGGAAGATAATGATTAACAGACCACTTAAAAAATTATAATTTATATAAATCAGGAAAACAAGATGAAGGGAGCAAATTCCAATAAACTGATGTTGAGGAAAAAAACTAGATGAATAAGAAGTTTTGGGTGGGAACAGTCACAGTAAAAGGATGAGACTTAATTGAATGACAAGTAACACGAGAATGAATTTTAGTAGATGACAAAAAAGACGATAGCTCTTTAGAGCGGTGCCCATTATTTTTGAAAAGAGAAAGAGAAGCAACATTACAACGATTTGATAAAGGTTGGAGGTTGGCTGCAGAAGCAGGTCCAACTATGTTTACAATGCGTTTTTGAACCCTGTCTAAAAAAGAAAGGGCATCATTGGAAGATCCGCCCCAAATATGGTAACAGTATTCCATATAATAGTGGTTTTGAGATTTATAGAGATAAAGAATAGAATCCTAAGTAAGAAAGTGGCAAGCACGAAAAGAGATGCAACCTTAGCTGATGCTAATTTTGCTTTTAAAATTTGATATATGATTTCCAAGAAAGATCGGAATAAGAGTAAATCCTAGAAGATGAAGGGTAGATGACTCATAAGGTACATTATCGTTCATAAATATTGGAAGATCTAGATTATTGCGATAACGATTAGGTGAAAAAAATTGAGTTATATTTGAGTTAAAGTTCACCAGCCACTGAGAGCCCCATGCTGTAGCAGAAGTAAGATCCTTGTTGTCTGCTGTAGCAGAGATGAGATCCTTTTCAAGCTCAAATCCCCTTCCAAGCAATCATAGAGTGCTGGCTTCTTATCAAAAGAAAAATAAATGGTAGTATCATCAGCAAACAATGCCGCCTTAGATATGAGAATTTCTTGGAGAAATGTGAATTTATGTGAATTTAACTCCTAGTCAAACTAATTAAACTCTATAACTCCTAAAAATAACTTTGGGAGACAAGTCTGGTTTACAGAGAAATTTATTTGTTTATGGATACACCAATTACGAATATAATTACTATTGGCCAGTTTTACAAATGCTGTCGTCAATTAGAGTTTCGCAAATATAATAAATAGCTCAGTAAAAAATGTTAAGAAAAAAAATTTAAAAAAAGATTTAGATAATTAAGAAAATTGAACAACTTGTACTTTGTTTTGCATATAACAACTTTTAACTTGTTAAGTGCAAAAATAATATTGTAATAATAATAGTAATACTGGTCGAAAGACATTTTAAAAACAGTTTTTGTTGAAAAAATACTGGGATCTAAATTATTAAACAACTATGCTCATGTAAATTTAAATAAATTTTTGCTTTCAAACAAAATTTTGGTATACCACCTGACAAATTAAATTTTGTAGTTGTATTCATTATTAGTAAGTGACCAGAGTTGATATTTGACCAGGGCTGGAGCCGTGTCAAATAATAACCTGAAGCTTTATGTCTGCTCGTGTTTCAAGTAACTGATTAGACACATTGTTTTAATTGCAGAAGTTTATTAAAACAAATATTTTAAATTAAAAAAATAAATTCTCAGCTTGGCTATTAACATCTGCTAATCTTGTTTGTTTAGCCAGGGTTGTGAAAAAACTCCAAATTTAACTAGGGCTAGGGCCTTGCTTACTTGCTATTTGTTATAAGAAGTTGTTGCATATTTTAAATATGCCTACCCATCTTGTCATTTTTCTGTCAAATTTCTCTCATTCCACCAATTTATGCTTTAATGACATTTGTTAACAAACAAACAATAAAAAAAGCCAATATTTTTAAGAAACCTCATATTGTAAAGTTTCAAATATATATATATATATATATATATATATATATATATATATATATATATATATATATATATATATATATATATATATATATATAAATATATATATATATATAAATATATATATATATATATATATATATATATATAATATATATATATATATATATATATATATATATATATATATATATATATATTATATATATATATATATATATATATATACAAATAGTATTGCGTACTCACCGTTTGAAAATTTTGACTTTTTTGGTTACGAAACATCCCGAAAAAATCCTCTTAGGGTATGAAACTACACATGTCAAGAATACTATATCAACTTACTTTGAAATCCAAAATTAAAATCCGAGAGAGATATTTTGATTTAAATTTTTGAAATAATATAAAAACATTAGCAGTTTTTGTTTTTGAAAATAGCGGTATTGGGGTGGGTCGTAGTGATTTTTTTAATAAAATAACTTTTTTAGACAATTAATTTGTAAAGATTTCGTATTTAATAAATTTTTTTGAGAAATGAGCTATAAGGGGAGATATTTCCATTTCAAGTTTTGAATCGATTAATTTTTGAATCGCGAATTACGATGAAAAATTTGATACGTGAATTGCCGTAAATTTGTACTTTCCTAAAATTTGTACTCTTCGGACATTTCCAATTTTACGGACTTTTTGTACTTTTAGTACATTTTCATACGTTTTATGACCTCTTTGTACTTTATGAATTAGTTTAAATGATATCTTCAAACAGATCACAAGTTCATCTCAGATTTTGAAATGCCTACTTTTTCAAAGGATCATAATCAATGTCGGCAGGTCGTTTGCACACTTTGTATGAAAAAAAGTGACAGAGAAATTTCAGAATATTTCATCAGTGAAATCAAAAGATTGATTTCTGGCAACATCAACTTTGATGATGAGAGGGTTCCACGAGGGATCTGTGTCACCTGTAGGTTCCTGCTTAGAAAGTTAGCTTCTGGAGATGAAGAAGTGAGTATACCTCAACTTTATGACTTCGAATCCATATTGATCAAACCATCAACTCGCCAGACAACTAAATGTGATTGCATCATTTGTCAAATTTCAAAAACCAAAGGGAAAGGAAAGCACCCCTTTGAAAAACCATCTCAGCAAGAAGTGCAAAAAGAAGAAAAATCTTTTGAAAAACGATGCACAAAATGCCTATCTGTCATTGCTCGAGGACTGCCTCATAACTGCAAAGAAGCAACACGTCATGAAAACTTGAAAGCTCTGGCATTGGCAGATCCGTTAGGGGCAGAGCAAATTGCATCATTCATCGTTTCTTCCAAAGAGGTATCTTCCGATGGAACTATTCTGATTAGCCGGTTTCATGGAAAGCCTCTTGAAATCAGACCAGGTATGTTAAAGTATTGTTGCTGGGTTTGCTTTTTAATATTGGTTTTTTTCTTATTTGTTTCTTTATTCACAGGATCAAATGCAACTCAGGGTCTCTCCTCAGAGCCATTGACAACACAAGATATGATTAATATTCAGCAAAACATTGGACTTTCTAACAATGGAATGAGAAAGCTTGGGTCAGCTTTAAATCAAATAAGTCCTGTTCGCATAGTTAAGGCCAATTTTCAACAAAAATTTGCTGCAGCTGGAACTACCCTCAAAAGTTTCTTTACAGTAACCACTTCACAGTTACCAGAATCAAATGAAACACGCCATATTGTTCACTGCACAAATTTGGAAACCCTCAAAGAAAATATTGTTTCATCCAAAGGCTTGCAAAACTCAAACTTCTTAAAGCTTGGCATTGATGGTGGAGGATCATTCTTTAAGGCAAGTTTGAGTCTTATCAGTGAGCATGAAGGAGAACCTCACAGTCCTGTTCAGAAGAAATCAAAATTGATCACCAAAGACAACTTCAAAAACACAAGTGTTCAAAAACAACTGATTGTTGCCATTTCAGAGAACACACCAGAGACTTACCCAAATGTTAAGCACATTCTGGATCTTCTCCAAATCAATGAAATCTCCATTTCAGAAAAACTTGTTATTTCTTGTGACATGAAGCTTGTAAACATAGTTTGTGGAATCCAGTCACACAGCAGTAAGCATCCTTGCTGTTGGTGCAACATAGACTCAGCACATTTGGAAAACTGTGGTCAGCTTAGAACATTCGGGGGCATCAGAGACTTGTACAAAAAATTTGTGAAGTCTGGTTGTGATGCCAAAAGATCAAAAGAGTTTGAAAATGTGGTTCATTTGCCAATGTTTGCCTTTCCAGACAGGGAATTGATCCTTGAGGCAATCCCACCCATGGAACTGCATTTGCTCCTGGGAGTTGTCAACCACCTCATCAAGTACTTGGTTCAAGTTTTTCCAAAGACCAAACAATGGTTGGATTCAATCCACATTCAGATGCAACCATTTCATGGTGGCCACTTCAATGGAAAAGATTGCATGAAAGGGCAGGGGAAAATTGAAGAGCTTATGCAATTGACAATTGCTGAAAAAGCACCAGATGCAACAAAGGCATGCCAAGCATTGAGCTCATTTCACCAGGTTGTGGTTTCATGCTTTGGATACACTCTGTTGCCAGATTATGAGGCAAAAATTTGTGATTTCAAAGATAACTACTTGAAATTACCAGTCTCAGTCACACCAAAGGCACATGCTGTTTTTCATCACGTTCAACAATTCATTCATCAGCACAAGGTTGGTCTAGGTGTATTCAGTGAGCAAGCAACAGAAGCTCTTCATTCAAATTTCAAGACCCACTGGCAAAGATTCAAGCGAAACTCTACTCATCCGGAATATTCCAGTCAACTCCTCAGTTGTGTAGTTGATTACAACAGCAAAAAAGTTTAGTTGTAAAGAAAGAAAATAAAAGACTCCTCATTTTCAATTTGGAGAAACTCAGTTTGTGTGTGTGTAAAGAATGTATTTATTTGTCAAAAGAAAAATTTTTGAAGTGAGAAATTTTGATTATATCAAAAAATTGAAAGATGGTTTTCTAAATATTTTCAAATAAAATTTTAAAATTGTGAATATGAATTATTGTCAAAAATGGCATATTTTCTATCTTAATTTTACTTTTTAAATTAGTTAGGCTGTATTAGGACTGATATGACCCCTTTTGTTAAGGGCAGGTTGTAACCAACTTCTATCCATTTGGTGAAAATATTGAATATTTTCAAATCAAAATATCTCTCTCGGATTTTAATTTTGGATTTCAAAGTAAGTTGATATAGTATTCTTGACATGTGTAGTTTCATACCCTAAGAGGATTTTTTCGGGATGTTTCGTAACCAAAAAAGTCAAAATTTTCAAACGGTGTACTATTGTAGGCAATCTGACATCTGACTTTTAATATCTGATTATAAATTTGATTTTAAATACAAAAAAATTAATTTGAAAAAATTTGCCAAAATACAAAATAAATTAGTATAATTTATGAATATATTTGTAATTAATATTTATAATTATTACACGTAATATTTTATAATTTAGAATTTCATGTTTTGATTCTAATGTTATGTTTAGATACAAAAGCGACCCTTGGCTTTGGAGTATGGACTGGTCTATTCATAAAACAGCAATTTCAAAAGATAATGCGGTTTTAATTGATAAGGAAGATGATGTGCATGCCTATATAAAAAATCGCTTAAATCACTTGTCAGAAAAACGGAGAAACCAGTTGCATCTACCTGGTTATCCAAAGTTTGTTCTTTTATTTATTAACTATTTATAACTAATCAAACACTGTTACCTTCACTAACCACCAGTCTTATTAAATTTATTATATATTCTGTTAAAGTAATATTAAATTTATAATATATTCTATTAAACTATATATTAAAATTTTTATTCATTGTAAAGCGCTTTTGAATTTTAATTACTTGAATCTCAGCGTGGAAGCCAATAATTGCCTAATTCTATTTAGAAGTTAAAATTTAGTGTGATGTTTTTTATTGATAAAGTACTTCACGCTAAATTTACCTAAAAAGTAAATCAAAACAACAAGTTAAAGTTACTAAAAGTTAAGTAAATCAAAACAACACCTAAAGTTAAGTTACTAAAAGTGAAGTAAATCGAAACAACAATATTAATAAGCTCAACCAATATAGGTTTTTTAGTGTTAACTTGATTACTCTATTTAATTGATTCATGCTTAATTAATTAATGTATACTTAATTAATGAATGCTTGCTTAAATAATGTAACCTATTTGAAAAAGGCATAGACAATAAATTTAGAATAAGATGTACTATTTTTCTGGGAATATGTTTGGAAAATTTTTCCAGCAAAGTTCATGAGGATAAAATTTAGGAGGATTTGACAAAATTTATGAGAATGCTCTTTTGAATTTTCATTTAATTTAAATTTTCTGTTGATACTTTAAATATAAGTATACTTACGATCTCATTTGCTATATTTATTAGTAGTATGAAAACCAAATAGAATTAGCACTCAAATTAAAATTTAAGATTGTTGACATCTTAAATTATGTCAGCATAGTTTAAGATGTTGGCCAAAAAGATAAAATGTGAAACCTTTTTTTTTTGGTTTTTGGCAACATAAAAATAAATACAATACCAAGCCCTCTCTCTTTATCCATCAGCCAATATTGTTGTTGTTGGTGATTTAAATGCTCATCACACTGAATGTTTTGGCTCTAATGTATGTGATACTGCTGTCATTAAGGCCCTCAACTTTTGGTTTTCTAAATCTTTAACTGAAATAGTCAACTTTCCAACTCGTTTTCCAAACAACCTGAATCATTTACATTCTCGACCTATGTCTTAGTTCTGATCGTTGTCAGTGCTCAGTTTCTCTACATTCACCCTTAGGTGCTTCTGATGATGGTTTGATCTCTTTAAAACTATTATCTCATTCTTCTTCATCATCAGAATCCCCCTATTATTGTACCTCTTACAACTACCTTAAAGCTGATTGAGACTATTTCTTTGTGATTCAGATTCAGGCTGGCACGGGATCTTTTATTCCCTCTCGATAATTCTAGGTCAGGCCTCACTCTTTTCCATGGTTTTCCTCACATTGTGCTGCTGCAATTTCCAAAATGAAACCGTTACTTCCATATCTATTAGCAAAACAATTCTCCAGAAAACAGATGTCTATTTACTATTGCTAGAAACCATTGTAAAATGTTTTTTTCTAATGATGAAGTGGTAATATAAAAAAAGTTCTAAAGCCCTGTAAATGTATATAGGCAAAGATATTCCTGTCATGGTGTTTGTGGAATGTTCGCAGAGTAATAAAAAGTTCTGCATTGTTTGCTGAAAATAAGTTTTGCCAGATAAGCCATAAATGGTTTCTTGTTATTTAGTTTAATGATATATTAAACTAAATCAAAGCTATTTTGAATAGTAATAGTAATAATTTAGTAAATCAAATTAAATGCAATAATATTAAACAAATAAATAATTAGGATTTACTCAAAATCTAATATAAAAATTAGTTTTTGTTTGTTTTTAAAACAATGATTGAAAATGAATATATTTTTGCAAGGTTTTTTAGTTGGTATTGAATAGACAAGTAACAATTTTTTTGTTTGTTTTTTGTTTTTCTGGCTTTTTATATATTTCAAATAAAAATGTTTTCATATTTTCAAACATTAAATACGAACATAATAATACAAACATTTAATATAAACATATTAAAACAACCTTTATTTAATTTTTTTTTTAGTTAATTTTGTAAAATCTGATTATAAATTCCTAATAATGATAAAATTCTTTGGAAAAGTTCATATATTGGTATCCTACCCTTTATTTTTCTGATTCATAATTTTGAATTTTTTTCTGCTTTAAGTCTCAAATGTTAAAAAATAAAATATTGAAAAAATATACTAAATTACTATCATTTTGTTACTATCGTTTTGCAAGTTGAGTTACAAACAGCTAAAATCAATTTGTTCCGAAGTATTAAGTATGTTACCATGGATATTTTGCTATTAGTTTTGTGGAATAAAATTATTTTACTAATAAAAGAATATAGAGTTTATGAAGTAAAAAAATCTCTTTGTTGTTAAAAAATAAATGTTATTAAAAATATGCAGTTTCTTGATCAACCCTTCTTGCCCTATAATCTATATTGTTAAATCAGTTTTCTGATTAAGTTTTCAGTTTAATATAATATATACCAACACATGTAGTTTTAGTTTAATACTAATCAAATGGTAGTCTATAAAAAAGAACTCCAGGGGTACCAATGTTGATTCCAGCTTCTTCATCATTCATCAAAACATTACCTTATTATTCCTATATTCATTACCTTTTGTATTACAACTATTTAACAAATTTATTAACAGTATTTTTGGTAGAGAGTTTTCATCTAAATCATAAAAGCAATGCTGAATACTGTCTTTAGTAGCTTAAAAATGTCTGATCAAGAAACTGCAGTTTGTTTAAAATGCGAGGGATCAGAACTAAAATATCATTTTTTCTGACATTCTTAAAGCAACTTGATATCACTATATATCACTACTGACACAACTTGATATCACTATATCAAGTTGCTTTAAGAATGTCAGAAAAAATATTTTTTTTGAAAAAGTTTTTTCAGAGAATTTTTTTTTTCGAAAAAAAAAGAAAAAAGTAATTTTAAACATTTAAGAAAAAATTGATCTTTGCCAACAACATGGATCTGTTGGTGATGCATTTCCAAGAGAATAATGTGTTTGAAGTTTTATTATGTTTAAAACATAGTATTCAAAAATATCTTGGTATATTCTTCCAGATTTTAGTTTTTAGTGAAGCTGCTGTCTAATATTTAACTTATTGTTATTTGATGGTTACTTATATTTGCAAAAAAGACAACCATTGCCAGAAATACCATTTAGTGTTTCTGGTGGGATATGATCTGTCAGTTCAGCTTTAACATGTTTTCATACCTAATATACTTTTTCTTTACTTTTTTGATGAATTATTCTTTTGCTTTCCAGTTTTATAAAAAACTTGTAGAAACTTTTGGATACTTGAAAATTTTCAAAATATGTTCATATCAAACAATTAGCATTCATTACTTTGCATGATTAAGATTTTTAAATGAGTAAGTACAAGCTCCATGCTGCAACAAAATTGGTTCTGAAAATTTAGCAAAAATTAAAAAGTGCTGATAAATTCTTTTATTCTTTTCATGACCACTTGTTTTGCTTTCTTTAATTTTTTAAATTTAATGTAAACAGAGCAAAAGAAGAAAGAAGTCATGCTGCATGTTTTATTGAGAAGAAAATTTCCTGTCTGTTAATCGCAGCATTTATTTTATTGATTACTCTTATGCAAATCTGTTTTGCTCTAAATTACGTTTACTATTTTATAAGATTCAAATGATGATGATGAGTTGATTCAAATGATGATGATGAGATTTTATAAGATTCAAATGATGATGATGAGATGAGTTATAAGATTCAAATGATGATGATGAGTTTAAAACTTCATCAATATTTGTGCATAACTTTAATACAAGTTGCCACATTATTTGATTTTTTTTTCATAATACTATTCCAAAACAAAATTATTTTAATTTATGCGCATTTCTCTGAATTATAAACTTCTAATTTAAAGGCTGTAAGGTTATAAATTTAGGTAAAGCTTTATCCACTATGCTTCCATGGTTGTTTTTTTTTCTTTAGAAATAAATGTTTAGACAGCAATTTGTTAGTTTTTCTTTTAGCTGTCATTAAATCCAATTAAACTTAAACATACTTATATATACTTATATAAACTTGGGTTTGATTAGGCAGTACCTATGTCTTATATTAAATACTTGGGTTTATACTAAATTACTTGGGTTTGAGTACCTATGTATAAAGAACATTTACTACTTTTTTTTTTTTTGCCTGAAAAAATCTGGATTAAAGTTGCATTACTAAATATAAAGTGAGCAGAATACATTAGTACTTTGCCAAGTTTATTTAAATATATATTTTTAAAGTTAATTTACCTCCCAAAGGCTGAAAAGGCCACTACAGTCAAGAAAGTTACTTTAATTTTGGTTGCAACCCTCTCTCAACTCTCTAACTCTGAAACACAAACCTTGATGAACAAGGCTGCTGCGTGGAGAAACAAGTTGATGTTATGTTTTCAACATTTTTATATTGAAAAAATTTTTTCATTCAATTATTTATGTTTTAAAGTATTGAAAATCTAAAAAAAAGTTATCTGAATATTTCCAAATGTTGATGAAAGCATTCTATAAAATTTGAATATTAAAACATTTAAATTGAAAAATATTGTACTGATAATTGTTTTAATTTTTAAGAAATTTAAATTAAAAAGATATATATAAGATAATTTAAAAAATTATATATATTTCTATATTGATTAAAATAAATTTTCTTTATTTTAGTTGGTATCGTAAATTATGCATGTCACCTGGAGAAGAAAGTTATCAATCAGGACCACAAAGTGTTTCATCTCAAACTAGAGTGACACCACTTCTTCTGCGTATGACTTGGGATGGTTACCCACTGCATCATGAGAGGGAATATGGTTGGGGGTTTCTTGTACCATGTGAAAGTATTTCAAACAAAAAAAAGTAATCCGAAAAATATTTATTACTAAACTAATGCAAAAGTTGCTTCTATCAAATACCCTCCTGCAAACTCTAGATACTGATGAAAATGTCTTTTCGTGTTATTCTTAAGGCTATTTTTTTTTATTCAATAGTAAAGATTAATTATAATTATAACTTTTTTAAAGCAATGAAAAGAAAGAAGTTTTTAATTTATGTTATCTTTACTATTAACTAAAATTTTATTTTATAAACCTATATATATATATATATATATATATAT